CCCGGACTCTGTGATTCCAGTGCCAGACAGGCTCACTTCTCCTGGAGAACCCCACCTGGCCACCCCACCTGGAGCGCTCACTGAGAACCCCCACTGGCTCAGGACACAAGGTAGCTGGGGGTGGGGCAGGGATCATTGGCTCGAAGACCTGTCACATGCTTGACATGGCATCTACAGTCCCTCAAGGGCCCCCAGGGTCTGTAGAGACCTCCATCTTGGAGTCAAAGTCATCCATGGAGGGATGATGGCCAGAGATGGGAGCCCAGCAGCTCTGCACCTGTCCATGGGTGGGGCCTCTGATCAGAGCCCTGTGGAGTCTGGCAGATGATCCGTGGCTGTGTCATGGAGTGCATCCTGGAAACTGTTCTGCATATGTTACATGAACATATCAACAATTGCTGCAGTTGGAGCAACCGGTGGTGCTTCCCCCAAGTACCTATAGGCAGCATAATGATAAGTTGACAACTTTGGGGGACTACAAATGAACTCTTGAGAGAGAAAGAAAAATACTGACAATTAAAGGCACCTCCGAGGGGTGTCAGAGTCAGATGCATAATTGAAAGGAAATGGTCCATATCCTTATGGCCCCAGTTAATCTTCTGTGCAGAACCTGACCTATATGAAGAGGCCTGAGCTGAGCTGCCGTGGAGGGGAGAGGCAGGGCTAGGTATGGGACTTTCGTTCCCACTTCCAGGCTGGAGAGGGTGTCCCATAGGTAAGGACTCCTGAGTGAGCCAGAGCCTTCCATTCTGTGAGAGCCTCACCCAGCTAGGTGGCTCTGCAGAAGGACCATGGGTGACTGCAGGGTGGGGTGAGGTAATACCTGTTGGCCCGACAGTGCCACCTCTGGTGGGAGGCCAGTAAGACTGCCTCCACACTTGGGGATGAGTGCACATTTGCACTGTTTAAGGACAGGCTTCCCCAAGCTCCTTGAACACTGTTTATGCCCTGTGTCTCCCAAATCAAACTGCTCTCCTTGGAAGAAACAGCCACAGCTAAGCAGTGCTCAGGGGAAAAGATGTCTGAGGTTGCAGTGGTTGGCTGGGCCCTTTGTGTAGTTGGTGCTCCAGGGTTTCCCGAGATACAAATACATTGAGAGCCAACATTTTAAACATCTAGATAAAAATCCACTCACTCTCTTCAATAGCAAGAGAGGAGCAAGCATCCAAGATGCTCTGCTCTTGTGTGGGAATCTGAGCACATTCCCTTTCAGGGCATAATGTTTAGAGGTACACAGGATGCCTGATGCAGAATTTGGTTTTCTATATCTACATGTGGACAAGTCTATGTGCATGCAGGTCACAGTCACAGCGCTACCTCAGGACAACTGTCCTTGCCCAGGGCCTGTTTGGATTGAGCAAGCAGTGAGTGACAGTGGCTTCCTGGACAGTCTGGTGCAGGGTGGGGCAGTAGGAGGCTCCAGAACAGTCAAAATGCTGGAGGAAGCCGGGTCCAGCATGCACACCTATCCTCTTGGCACTTGGTGAGACTGAGGACAGCCTGGAATACGCAGTGAGTTCAAGGCCGGCTTGGAGTACGTTAGTGAGACCCTGTCTTCCAAGGGGAAAAAAATATCTCCCTACCCCCCAAAAACAGCATCATCACTGAATGATTTCCAAGTTTCCTTCCGGGTCTTTTGGTGAACCCTCTCATTTGAACCTACTGCATTCAGGATTCATCGAGATGGATCTGCAGACCCCAGTCCTTGGCCTCCACCATGCCCCCAAGGACCCTGGCCCAGAGACACACAGGACCTCTGGCTGAGCTGAGCTCCGTGCAGCCCCCACTGTAGGCACTCGGGCCCATGATTCCAGGGTGCAGCCTGTTGGGCTTTCCCTGCCCAGATGGGCGGCCTGTGCCTCAGTGGCCCTGTAGCAGAGGGAAACAGGCTTCCTATTCTGGCAAAGCTGAACACCATGGACACACAGCGCTCGGGGGCACTTGGGCAGTTCTTCAGCCAGAGGAAGGCCCTGCTCCCCAGGGAGTCTCAAACCCTAGCTCTTTGAGTTTAGCGAGACATCATTTTCTCTGGAGCCCTTGTCATCCACGGTCACTAACCTGGCCAGAGCCAGGACCCTCCGGCGTGGTCGGCACCGTTTCTTGGCTTCTATCCCCCCCTCCTGGAACTTTCTGGAATGACACCTGTTAGTGGCGTCAATGTGCACCACAGAGGATCCAGGGATACTGTGGGCACCGCAATTGGGCAGAAGGGGTGGGAGATAGGGCATTTGCACAGCAAGGAAGCCCCAGTATTTATGGGTTACAGAGAACACTTGGCAGGGCCACAAGTGAGCATCCTGTGCCTCATCAGAGGCCAAAGCTGGATCAATCCTGACCCAAACCACTGGACACTCCTTGTGGGGCCATCCCTCCCAGGCCACTGGCCAATGGGCCAGGGAGAGGGGTGTGAGACACCTCCGGGAGGAGGGGCCTAGGGCAGGAGGTCCGTGGGTGGTGGTGTAGCTGGGGGAGGGTGTGGGGCTTTGCCATTGTGAACTTTGAGATGAGCATTTTTCCTAAAGGGATTCACAGGCCAGCCCCTGCTTGTAAGGGTGGAGAGCCCGCCCCTCCCCCCACAGAGCCAGGCCCCTGGGATCCCAGAGGCCAGCATGGCTTGGGGCACTTGGTGGCCGGCCAAGTCCCACTGGTGCAGCTTAGGTGCTTACACCCTGAGGCCTCGACTGTGGGGCCTCTCTGCGGACACCAGGGGGAGCTGGTGATGTCAGCCCGGCCCTCTCGCCTCAGGTCTTTTCCAAGTGGCCCTGAGACACAGGCAGAGGGGTTCAGGGGACCTGAATGGACTCCACCTTGTGACTTGGGAAGCGGGCTGCTGGACATGGCCATGTCCACAAGGCCATAAGCAGACAGCATTCTGGGCTCTGGGGAAAGTAATTTTAAACTTCTCAGTGCCTCAGTTTCTCTACTCCCCTCTCCCCCACTGGTATTGACGCAGTGCTCTCTAAGCACCTCCATGGTACCACATTGTCCTTGTGGGGAAGCACAGAGGTCACTAAGGCTGGCCCTAATGCCACCAACATTGAGGGTTCTGGGAACAGGTATCTGAGAAGGGGCCAGGCTTACGTGGACTCCAAAAATGAGGTCAGGAAGATGCCATGGGACAGAAGAGGGAACAGCCACGGGCAGGAATACAGGAAGCAGCAGGGACACCCACCTTTCCCTCCTCGGCACAGCCCCAAGAAAACATGTGCTGAGTGGTCTTGCACTCATGCTTTTCGTGCCCACCGTGTCCACAGTTCCTTGAAAGCTGGAGGGTCAGGGATAGAGGAGATGCTTTTCCAGGTGAGTCTCAGCTTTCCAGGCCACAAGCCTCAGCTGGGTGGTGGCAGCAGGGCCAGGTGGGCATAGCTGGCAGTCCCTATCCCTCCACAGAGACCCCAGGTTTGTATGCTGGGACTGCAAAACCACACAGTGACTGTATGGCGCAGATGGCAGATGCAGGGGCCTCTGGGAAGGGAACAGAGGGAGCCAGCGTCCAGTACTGCTCGGGCGTTCACAGTTCCCTTAGTGCGCCCCCAAGCACACCCTGAGAGCTGACTCCTGGCTGAGCCTGAGAGGCAACTCCAGCAGACTCTCTATCCCCCTTACTGTGTCCTCTTTGTCCCCACCCTTAGTTCTGTCACCCAAGTCTGTAGTACCTGCTCAGCCAGTAGGCGGGACACAGGGATTGTGGGAATGCCAGAAGGCCAGGATCCACCTCTGTGGCCTGGCTGCCGCTGTCCTCTCAAGGGCTGCACGGGCACTGCCAACATTCTGCACATCTTCCTACCAGTTCTGAACACAGTAGCCCCCACAGAACCCAACTGAAGGGTAGAAGGCAGCCTGCCATGGAGCAGCCTTCAAGTAATCTCATGCCTCTGGGGGCAACTAGCTGACTTCACTGACCCTACGGGAGCAGTTGCTAGGAGAAACCAGCTGGTGTCAGCAAAGCCCAGTTGTCTGTGTGTGAGTGAACAGTGATCCCTTGGGGCCCAGAGTATTCTGAAGAGGCTGTAGGACCCCAGAGAAGTGACAACTAAGCAGTGAGGGGTCTGTAGCTTCAACTGCTAGGGAAGCTTCCCCTCCTTGGCATCTCTCTCACTCTTGGGGACCCTAGAGACCCTTCGTCCTCAGCCACGAGGAGGGTTGAGTCATTGGCAGGTGAATCCAGGACACAGGGAATTCTGGACCCCTGGCATGGCAGGATCTCCCTACTACATGATGGCAACCACCCACAGGTCATGTGGTGCCACCCAGCAGTGGCAGCAGCTTCAAGCCAGGCTAAGAGAAGACCGCTCACAGGCCTTCCCCAGGCAGACTGGCCCTCGGGGCGAGAAGGCCATGGCGGGCAGTTTTCCTTCCAGAAAAGGGTGGGTTGACAGTTGCAGCCCAGGGCCCAGCCTCTCCCAGCTGCCCAGCCACTGGAAGGGATATCCATATATTCATCTTCTAGACCTTCTCCATCCCGGGCCTCAGCTAATACAATGTCCTCATTACATTTTAAAAGTTTCTAATTTGAACATAGATTCACACCAAGTTGAAAAAAATATGTAAGGTATGGGGAGGTTCCCTGTCCCACCCCCACTGCATGTGAGGTCACGGCCAGTGGTGGACACCGGTGCTCGTGGCACCGTGCAGACCTCCCAGCTTACAGTGCAGCTGCCCTGACACAGACACCAGGAGGCCTGCACCACAGCTCCCTTGTATCGCCCCTCGCAGGCACCCCATTCTGTAGGTCTCCCAGTCCCTACTGTGGCTTTGGATCTTAAATGCCCCTCACAGGCAGAAGCACTGAAGTCTTGGCACTGCTGGGAAGTGGTAATGGTACCAGTGGAATCAGCTGAGGTCACGAGGTGTGAGTGAGCTCTCTCTCTGCGTGCTTCCTGGCTGACCCGAGGCAAGCAGCTCTGCCCCAGCACATACTCCCCATCACATCTGCCTTGCCATGGGCCCAGAAACAGTGCGGCCAATGACCATGGAATGAAACCTCAGAAACCATGAGGCAAGCATCAGATTTCCCTTTTATTTTCTCAGGTATTTTATCACAGTGACAGAAAGCTAGCAATCACACGGATCCTGGTGATCACGGATTGCACCCCATGTCCTATCAGTGGAACCACACAGCATAGTAATTTACTGTGGCTTCTCTTTTTGTCTTTGTCACTCTAGCTACATTTTTAAAACTCAATTTTGTTGATCTTGTCAAAGAACTAGCTTTTGGTTTTATTGGCTTCTATTATTAATGTTTTCTATTTTGCTGACATTCACTTTTATCTTTTTCGTTTCCTGCCTTTTAGTTGCTTACTTTGCCCAAAGTGGAAGTCTAGAGATTTTATATCTTCCTATAAGTACTTAAGAGTGTAAATTTCCCTCAAGCATTGCTCTAACCATACCTTTCAAGTTCTGATATAGTTTCAGTTATTTAGCTGAAAATAGTTCAGAATTTTTCTAGTCCATTTTTCTCTAACCCATGTATTCTCTGTGTTTGATCCCAGTGGTTTATGCTTCTCTGGGGTCTTCTTGACCCAGTATGTGGTTGATCTCAGGAGGGATTCCACATTGGCTGGGTGCAGAGCTCTGCAATGTCAGGAAAGCCCTGACTTCTCTGTCCTCTCCGTTTCCTTGCAGGTGGTAATATTGGTTACTGCAGAGGTGTGTTAAAGACAACAACCATGCTGTGGATGGTGACTGGCCTGCAAATCCAGAGTAGTTCTGATGCACTCAACCCTTCACTCCACCTTAATTCTGTCTCCTTTCAATTACTGTCAAATGTTCCTGTCTTTAGTGACGCTGTGTGAAGTCTACTCTGAATGTCATGGTCACCCGCCTTTGCGATGCTTCTCTGTTTGCACAGTATCTGCCCCATCTTCTTGCTATCAGCCCTTGTTACAACATGTGGTTGGTTCTGGTTTTATCCAGGCTGACATTCTGCCTCTGGCTGAAGCATTCAGGGTACTTACAGAAGTGATCTTCACCTATTTCCCACAGATGACAACGTGGACAGGATGCTCTGATGCTGCGCGTGCAGACAGTCCCCCGAGCCGCAGAGGTGAAGCAATAGCCGGGTGGGGACTAGACCTGCCTATTACTGTTCCAGAAGGGCTTTCTACTCTAGTTTCCTTGTTGGGTTCTAACAAGTACAGGAAGGAAGAGGAAATGGCCACTTGCGCAGTCTGTTCTGGCTTCATAGGGGTATAGGAACAATGGAGCCTCTGATTCAGAAATATTGCAAGAAAAGGCACGATGGTCACTACCCTGGAATAGCATGAGGTGATGGAGAACAGCAAGTCATCTACCCATCTGACCACCCATCCACACACCTATCTACCCATCTATGCATCTCTCCATCCATTCACTGACCTGCCCCTCTCACCTGTATCACCTAGTTGCTGCCTCACCATGTGGCACTCTGCCCCACCATATCCCATCTGCACTCTCACCTCTGCATGACGAATTCCTTAGTTTTTTGCTATCAGCTTCCATCCTACCTCTCTGAGGAGTCTTCCCTGGGTTGTTGATTCTGCCAGTTTCCTATGCACTCATCTCCATGTCACCCAGCTTGTCTCACAGGCAGGACTGTGTCTGTGATGTCCCTACATGCACTGGACACCCAGGGGACACCTGTGACTAAAGCGCTGAATAGAAGAGTGGTCTCCTCTCTCACAGAGCTTCCAATGAACAGGAAGGGTCAAAGTTGACTACTGGATGGTCCAAATGCTCTTCCTGGACACCAGTGCTGAGAAGCAGTTCTCCTGAAGCCCTTTGGTGGCTGGGCAGAGAACACAAGCAGACCAGCCGTCAGAAGAACTTCTGAGCTGACAGAGCTTCGAGGTATTAACACACTGAGGTTGCTTCACAAGCCAGGGAGAATGCATGACTGTCCTATGTGGTGGCTCTCCTTGTCCAATTCTAGGGTACTATTCCCTTCTTTTGAGGCCATTCATAAACCTGGGCTGCACTGGATTCAATGATCCTATATTAGGTTATTTTCTTCAATCTAGCAAAACACGAACATTACAGATGCCTTTTGAGTCACTTGCTGTGTGCGAAGCATCTGTTCGGAGCTTCTTTGCCATACATTGCCTCACTTGACCCGAACAGTGGCATCCTGTGGTGGAGTTTATTTTTGCATCACAGATGAGCACCATGTTGGCTTCTTGCAGTCTCTAACTTGGACTCTGCACATCTTACCTTCTGGAGACTGATATCTTTCTCCTAATTTGTATCCAACTAATCTAAGGCTCATGAGAGCTTCTATATTTTCAAGTTGTGGTTAGTGGGAGTTTTTCTGAGACTGTCTACAACTTACTATGATCATGTCAAAGTTATTTTTTTGAGACAGGATCTCCTTGTGTAGTTAAGGCTAGTCCTGAACTCACTATGTAGTCAGGCTGGCCTTGAATTTGTGGTGATCCTCATGCCTCAGCCCCTCCAGTGCTGGGTCAACTTCCTGTGGCTGCTTTATTTTTAAAAAGCACAGTGGGGCATGTCTGATAAACACTTGGTATTCTGTACTCTGAAGCCTTAAGTAATATAATGTGGCCTCATCTTGTGAACTGTTGGCAACTTGCAACTGTTGGATTCTGTGAATCTAATACCCTTAATTCAAACTATGCCAAAAGAAGTGATGAGGACACCTCCATGAAATCCAAATCCATCAAGCCAGTTAGTGATTTCTAGTTTTTTAGTTCAGCTCACAGAGAAAACAGCCCGGTGACCCCATATAGCCAAAGGTTCCTGGAAGAACTGACAAAAAATACTGACACCTTGTGGAGAATATGAGAAACAGCGCTCTCTGGTCGTGTGTCTGGGAACTGGGAATGCTCAAACATTGCAAAGATAATCTGCTAAAGGCATTCAAGTCAAAAGGCACCGAAAATCGTGTGGGAAGAAATGAAGCTTTATTGCAGCTGATGCATTTCTCCTTTGAAAGGCAGCAGCTGATGGGAGCCTGGGTGGACAGTGGTGCCAGACCCATGGCTTGTCAAGGGAATCCCCCTGGCTCTCTACTCACACTGCTTGGCCTTCTCCAGGGGTTCTGGGGTGACGGGGACCACATTCAATGGGCAATCAAGCCAAAGAACAGGGTCACATAAACTCAGGGCAAAGAGGCCTGCAACAGCCTGCTTCAGATTATGTGAAAGGCTCTCTTTTAAGCCAGAGGCCGGCGTCTGACCAGCTCCTCATTGAAGGGCTTGCTGAGAAGTTCTGAGGATAGCTCATGCCACACTCAGCTGAGCCATACCCCACAGCATGAACAAGAGAGAAAATAACCCTGGCCTCGAAGACTCCCAGCCTGTCCAACCAAGGAACCTGTTCACAGACACCCTCAGCTCAGCCTGGCCTTTCTACCCTAACATCACCTATGTGTGCTGTGCATGTTGATAACCATGCAAACTAAGGACATCTGTTAACACAGCAAGTGAAGCATCTTCGGTGATGTGTTTCACAGGCAACTGATTTCTACATAGAGAAACTGTTTTGGGCTGTGATTTATACAAATATAAAACGATGAGAATTTAAAAAACATATTCCCTAACATCAGTGCCTTTGAGGAGTGATTTACATTTGTAGCTGCAATGGAATTATGTCCAGAAATGTTACCATTTGGTCACTTGGGCTTGCACGTGAAGAGCAAACTCTAGGTGAGAAGTCATGACTGTGTGACTGTCCACAGGAAAGCAAGATGGGCATCTAAAGAAGAGAGCAGCAGGATCATAGGGATGGACATGGAGGCCACCATTGATGAGGGCAGTGGCATGTGCAGATGAGGCATCTCCAGTGTCTAGACTTTATTGTTCAAGTAGGAATGGCTTTCTGTATGACACCATCAAAGGAAGACTATGGATGCTGGAAACAATTCTCAGAATGACAAATCCCTCACAGCAGAAGTGAAAGAATTAAGACTCCTTTTTGGTGGAAGCTCACACTGCTTCAGCACGGACACTGGATAGAAAAGCTTGGGTGTGGGCGGACCTCTGGCCCTGACAGAGCACCCTGTCTCCCATGCTGTTTATTGCAGGAGGGTCTCTACCCAGCCTCAGGTCCTCCCTCAGGAACAAGGTGCAGACGCTGTGCTCTCTGGAGATGCCAGAGGGACCAGTCCAGTCCTGCAGTAGGTGCTGGTCCTCAGGAGGTCAGCTTGGAGTAGCTGGGAGGAGAAAGCTTGCGCTTCAAGTACTTGAGGATGTAGAGGGGAAGGCAGCTGACCACAGTGATCGCCGACACTTTCCACAAGAAGGTCACGGTTGTGATGAAGGTAACATCTGTCAGAAAGGGGTAGAGCGTGAGAGCCAATCAAGGAGCTCCCAGGCCCCAAGACCACTGCACAGACCTGACTGGACTCTGAGGACTCCTTCAGACTGTCTACTGCAGCTCTGCCATGCACTTGCACAGGCAAACTAGCTCAGCCTCATGGAGTCTTCACTGCCTTGCTGCTTTACCTGCATCCTGGTGCAACTGGCTCTTCTCAAATGGAATGGAGCCGGAGTACAGTATTAGAAAATGCACATGGCTAGTATCTCCATATACCTATCAACAGGCAGATGGCACTTTTAAAACAGGGTTTGCAAAACACTGCTGTGCTGTTCCCAGGCTGTCCAGGCCAGTCTTAAGGTATAGCTGACTTTATAGGGCTTAGATGGCAGGTGGCAGCTCCCTGCCCGGACATAAAGGGTCACACATCCCTGTTCTTCAGTGCTTTTCAGTATGGCTATCCTGGAGCATTCTTACAATTACTATGGACAAAACTGCAAAAGCTGCATTGGAAACAATGGTTATTTAAAGTCCTCATGAGAAGAGGCATTTGGAAAACCTGACATTTGTATAGTTCAGTTCTACTTATTGCAGAAATTCCTGTAGATTGTTGTCAGACATTGGGATAAAAAAAAAAAATCTACCTACTAGGAGTTATAGACTTTAAAAAAAATAAGGGATGTGGAGAAAACTGTCCTCTGTACAGGAGATTGGAGACCATAAAGGAAAGGTCACAGGCTATGTTAACCTGCATTTTGAGAAACCCTGGAAGTGTTTTATCAGGAGCTTTGTCACTAAGACTGTTTTAGGGAGGGCAAAACAGCCTGAGTCTCATCCCTCCTCCACTCAGAAGCCACGATACCTATGAGGCCCTCCTGGAACCTGGCAGGGAAACTTACATGCAAGGTTTATATGATGTTGAAGAAGTCAGTAGGAAGTGTATGGTAAGGTAGACAAAGTGTTTTTTTTTAATCAGTTAAGCATCTTTATTTTGTTTTGCTGATTTTCCTTACTCTTTTTTTCCTCTGGCCTTTACATTTTCTATACTCTTGAAAGAAACAGTAACTTCACCTACCTAAGAAAGCGCCAAAAGATACTCTGCCTATACCTGTTCCAAGACAAAACAGGAACAAGAAAATGAAGGACAGATAAAAGGACATATCAGGACATTGTAGTGGTTAGCTACCAATTAAAGAAATACATTAAAAAGCAAAATATTAAAAATATCAGCATGAAATGCTCTTGTGATTGTGGTTTTAACCCCTTCATTTTATTACCTGTTATAATGTAGTCTTTTAAACATAATTAAAATTAATTACTTTTCTTAAAAGCAAACGCTCATGCCTCATTGGGTCTACATCTCAATGTCTGAGAAGGGTACATCTCAGAACACAGCTCACACCTGAGTACTCACCACGCTTGGACACTATAGGTTCTGTGGCTTACTCATACATATTAAACACACTGCCATTCATCTCCAGGCTTGGGCTTAGAAGAGGCTAGTACCATCTCCAGCCTAGATGAGAAAATCAAGGCTCAGACAGGTAACAGTTCTGCCCAATTCATTGCTGGTTTGTCTCCCACTTTTATACCTCCTGTTTATAAAGTTAGTTTTATATCTGCTCATATTGCAGTGGATTAGGTAGTATAGTTTGTTTTTCCAATTTTGGTATTTTGCTTTGTGTTCTGTTTATATTGTCAAAATGAGGGAAACATGTTACTGAAGTGCCATAAAAATAAACCAACATTTCTCTATGGGGCTGGGGATTTAGCTCAGTGGTGCCACTTCCTGCCTCGAAAGCACAAGGTCCTGAGTTTGATCCCTGGTACCACCAAAAAAAAAAAAGAAAGCAAATAAAAAAAAAATTTCTCTATGTTTGAGTGCATTAATCATGATCACATAGGAAAATATAGCAAGTGCTTATATGCCAAACAACAATAACATTCTAATTTGAAAATGGCCCTTTCTTACACGCCATAGATCCATCTTTTTTTGGTAAATGTTTCTTTTAATATAAAACATGAGACTTTAAATTTTTCCTACCTATATGCTCTGCACTACATATCCACTGAGTGGTCTGTTAAGGGTGGGGTGCAACCTGACTGGGCTTATTCATTGCAGGCTTAACTCCTGGTGCTTGGAGTGGCTCTGTGCTCACATCTACTTGCAAACTTTAGCACACTAGCCACTCAAAAGTCACAGTGTGCAGGGATAAGTGTGTGGCTGACTCACCAAAATAATTACCTAAGATGAAGTTTGTTGCTATTGACGTGGGTGTGGAGAATACATCAGGGTGCACTTTTCCCCTTTTTGAGAACTTGGAACCTTTCTTCTCAGACCAGAAAGAGCACCACTCAGTGCTCATATAGGAAGGGCACCAGCTTGATGCTCTCAGGTATCTTTGGAATTATATAATGCTACATGCATACAGTGACCATCATCCCACCCTTCTGCTTTGGCCCCAGGAGATAGAGACTTGACCATGTTCTGGGAACCAAGTGAGGCCTTATACTAAATGATCCTTATCTGAGTGAACATAGTCTTACTTTTTTCTCTGCCTTCATTTAAAAAAATCTTAAGAAAGAATCATATTCAGTCTTCATAGCCACATTAACCAATATGGGGGTAATGCAGGGATCTAACTGACTATGACATTGCTTTTGTCCTTTTCAACTACTGGCTAGAAAGGCCTGAGATTCAGGAAAGAAGAGATGAGCTTGCAAGATGAAGTGTATCAGTAGGAATGGACCAGCAAGGGGGTGGTGAAGTCCTGGGAACAAAGGGTACAGAGGATTGTAGATGTACAGACAGGGACCTGGCCCAAGCAAACCAATACCAGGTTGATTTTGATGGTTTATTTTATTCAGGAGAAATGGCTCTAAGGGTTGCAGAAGGCCCCCAGCCCACATCTAGGGAAGCCTCATCACTGGAGAAAACCTGAGTGACAGATAACAGAGAAATATGGCATTCTGGGATCCTCTGACTTGTTTTTTCTTTCTTTTATTTTGGTACCAGGGATCGAACTCGGGATCTTGTGCTTGTGAGGCAGGTGGCAGAACTACTGAGCTAAATCCCTGGCCCCGTTCTTTCTTAATCTATAGAGAATAAAGATAAAGGGCATGATGGTGACAAGAATTACCACTCATTGAGTGCCTAATACCTGCCCAGCACTTCTTATGTATGACCTCACTCTCAGGAACAAGGCTCAGGGAGGCCAAGCCACTGTCCCAAGGCCCCTGCCAAGTCACAGTAGGCTGGGCTGGGCTTGAGGAACACAGCCAATACTGGAGGCAACTGGAAGCTGTGGCTGGTCAGGAAGATGGAGCTGACACTCTATCACAAAGGTACACTGACATAACATCCAGAGCCACTACAAGCTGCCTAGTTGGGCTGCATTCTGTGACCTGTACAGAAAGCTGAGGGGAGGGAGTGGAGTGTGTGGCTTGTGGGCATCTGGGTTTTTTCTCTGCAAGTGTTTGCCTTAGAGTAGCTAGTAGCTTGCATCATGAAAATAAGGACAAACAACACAACTCTTATAGAAAGAGTTGTTGGACATAAACACAATTTTAATGACTTTTTAAAAGCCAGATGGTGAAAAGCTTAACTTTACAAATTAATGCAGGGAATTTTACCTTTCCACAAAAATAAATTTTTGTGTTGTGAAACTTCATGGCATGGGTTTTGTGATGTGCAATTTAAGACAATGTTTTACAAAGTAACAATAACAAATGTTTAAACACCACTGACAGTAGTTCAAAAAATAAATTTAGGCCACTTACCAAAATATTCGTTTAGAAATGCGAGTGAGGCCACATAGCAGCCTAGACTAAGGAACTCCGCCACAACCATCAGCCAGTGCCATGTCCTGATGGTCAACGCCACCATGAGCAGCTCAGTCAGGATCAGTGCTGTGAAGGAGATGGCCACGACGTGGACGAACTCTGACTCAAAGAGCACTAGGGCTCCATACATGAGGATGCCTCCTGGAAGACAGTGGCAGAGCGGCCTCTTAAAGGACTGATTCTTCTGTGTAACTTGGAGCCTGGATCACTTTGCAGGCAGGCCAGGAAAATGATCACAGAAATGGATAACTGCTTCACAACAGCTAAAATACAGGATCAGGTACATATCCATATTCTATGTGGTCAGACAATCCAGCCAAACTCGGGATTATTGATAAAATAAAGTATGACACTCTCCTGGTCAATTAGAAATGTCAAGAAGAAGCCACACCTGTACTTCAACTCATGTGAATAACCATTCCTTTCATGTATCTATGTCATCTGCAGCTAATTACACTTGTAAGAATCTCTCACTTAACCTGGAACACCAACAGAGTGGCTAATGACTTGAGTTACATAATTCAGACTTCTTAGAGCCTCTATAGCATCACGCCATAAAAGGAAATGATTGTGCAGGGATACAATGTAAAAACTGCTTGTTAAAAATTTCTAGGTTAATATTTAATTAGAAATAAGGGACCGGGGATTTAGCTCAGTGGTGCCTCTGCCTGCCTCGCAAGAACAAGGTCCCGAGTTACATCCCCGGTACCAAAAAAGAAAGAAGGAAAGAAGGAAAGAAAGGAGGAAGGAAGGAAGGAAGGAAGGAAAGAAAGAAAGAAAGAAAGAAAGAAAGAAAGAAAAAAAGAAAGAAAGAAAGAAAGTCAGTTTTTTAGCTGACATTCATCATTTAAAAAATACCAATTCACATTGCTGGAGTGTCGATTTACAAAATTAACAGAAGGGAACATTTAACGGCTACTGAAATTTTAAGTGATTGGAATTTAACCTGGAGGTGGAAACAATATTGCTAAGAGAAGACCAAAAATATTTCTTTGGTCCAGTAAAATCAGGCCCTGTCTTACCTTGGTACATGCTGATTAGAACCCAGATGAGGAAAGTCTTGAAGGATAAGGATCTTCCCTAGGGTAAATGGAGGAAAATGTTTGTTAAAAGAGCAGAATGGCATTTTTGGCTTGCATATTTCCAAGTAGTTGGGGCTGGGGAGCTTATCAAGCCCACCATGTATGCTGTTGTGACCTCATCTTCCAGGGGGCACCTCAGGTGAACCTGCTTCCCCATATACCTGTCCCTGCAGAAGCTTCCCCTGTAGGTGTCACAAGCTCTATTGAGCTCTTGAGGTTGGCAGGGGTCTGATTTGCCCTCTCAGCTGATCTACATGATTCCTAAGCCACAGAGATATGTTCCCCTGCTTCCTAGTAACCCAGAAGATAAAGACTTTATTTGTAATAAAAATTTCCCTTTACTTCGTTATTTCTTGGGACAAATATTCTTATATTTACTTTTTAGTTTATTCAGATTAAAAAAATTGACAGCTCTTCAGTAGGTAGGAACTGCCTATCTCAACTGAAAATGAATTGTTCCTTAAATCCTTCCTGGAAAAGCTGCCATGTAAGCAAAACCCTTTCCCTATGGTTCCTTGTGCAATAATTCACTTTTTAAAACTGAACACAGGTTTTGAGGAACGTGCCAGAGACAAAAGGTTTTTTCCCCCCAGTACCGGGGACTGAATTCAGGACCTTGTGCTTGCCAAGCAGGTGTGGCACCACTGAGCTACATCCCTGGCCCGAAGGTTGCTTTTGTTTAACTGTGCTGCTGAGAGTATTTCAACCCAAGAGGGAGACCATCCTGGATCTACTGCCATTACTTTCTTTGATAGGTCCTTTAGCAATGGGCATTAGGACAGGCCCAACTTAGACCACCATCAGAATCTGGTCTCTGTGCAGATCTTTGCGATCATTTGTTGTTTTAGTGTCTCTATTCTTGGCAATGTAGCATCTCACTTAAGCACTTCTACTTACAGATGAAGAAACCTATGAAGCCCAGAGATTTTCTCAGGCTTCTGCTGCAAGCTTTTTGGCACTCTGATGTAACTGATCAGAGCCCAAAGTTCTGCATTTGATTTGGGGTTTCCCCATCCATACAGGGGAGCTTCTTGTGATGACTGTGGACAGAAAAATACCACCAAGGAAAGATGCATATCATGGGGGCCATGGAATACCAAAGACACAGCAGAGGCAATGAGACGTCAGAGTCTAGATCTGAATCATGCATCCACCAGGAGGCTGCTGAGGACTTTTAAAGATAAAAATGCTTGGGCAGAAGACATGTGTGCTACACAGGAACTCTGGCTGTTGTTCTGTAGAAGCTAACAAAGAGCAGGTATATGAATTGTAATTCTACAACTGTAGCTCAATTATAAAAGATAAGAGTTTTACTTTCACTTAAATATTCTCTTGGTTACAAGTGTTCATCTGTGAAGATACTGACTAAATCCGAGTCTTTACAACATATGAGTGTAGGGAGATTCAAATACATCACAATTCATTAAGTCAATATAGATTCTTAAATCTAAATACTAATTTATTTTAAGCAAGTTTTCTTAACACCTATTTCCCAACTGCATTGGTCTGACTGGATACTAGTGGGTGTTTTGTCTTTGGTCATAAAATTCATCTGTAATTATATGCCTAATTTTACTTGCCCTTAAAAAGAAACTTAACCTTTTGATATAAGAAATAGAAGCTTACCTTGTAGCCAGATTTACTAAAATGCATTCTGATTATTTATGTGAGGTAATTTATGTTGAAAGTTAAATGAGGGCATTTATGTTGAAAGCTTATCAAAAGGTGTTTAAGATAGTACATCAAATCTGCACCTATGTGAGTGCTTCTGTATTTAAGCAGATTGTACATTAATAAAAGCAAACCTAACAGAATAGTATAAAAACCATTAATAAAAAATTAACCTGAGGAAAATATGCATAAACCTCTTGTTCCTTGATGTTGGATGCGATGGTTCTGACTTTAGCTTTGAGAGACAAAATCTCATTATATTTGATGGTACAAATACATTATTCATGGAAGTAATTTACTATGGATTTCAAGCTATATATAAAGATGTTCTTCCTGGACCCACAAGTTTTCATTTGTTTTTAGGAAATGGAAGAAAATGTCTATTGCTCCGATTGATGGATTTAATCACTCATTCATTCATGTACCAGACACTGATTCAACAGGGACTGCTACCAGGCAGCAGGTGCAGGCCTGAGCACATGAGCTAAGGATACAGACTGCCTGAAGTCAGCCCTGCCTACCACACCATTACTGCTGTGGTCTTCAGCTCCTTAATTTGTGTGCCTCAGATTCCTCTTTTGTGAAGCAGAAATGATAATGGTATGTACCTTATATCGATAAAATAAGCCATGAAATGAAATATGGAGAAACTAAGAAAGTATATTAATGCTATTGGTGGGCTGGGGATTTGGCTCAGTGGTTTCGCTGCCTGCTGTGCAAGTGCAAGGACCCGAGTTCGATCCCCGGTACCCCCCCCCAAATGCTATTGGTGTTATATTACCAATTGGATAGTACAGATTCCAAAAGATACACTTTGATTATATATCAACCAAAAATGTAAAAAATAAAATCAAGAATTTTAAGAGATTAATCCACCTTAAGATGAGTAAAATTACCTCAAAAAACTAAAACTAGAGGTTCCATGTGACCCAGCTGTGCCCCTTTTAGGTATCTTCCCAAGAATTAAAAGCATTATACCACAGTGATATATGCATGCCCATGTTTATAGGAGCACAATTTATAATAGCCACATCTAGGAAACAGCTCATGTGCCCATCAACAGATAAATGGATAAAGGAAATGTGGTGGTATATACTATACAATGGCATATTACTCTTCCATAAAGGGGGATAAATTTGAGTTATTTTTAGGTAAATGGATGTACCTTGAGACCATAATGTTAAGTGAAATAAACCAGACACACAAGTTTAAAGAAAATGAGTAAAATTACTAGTATGGCAGCATTAAGTACCATGATGTGGGTAACATGGAAGTTACACTGACATGCACACTGATGTGTATATGATTATACACAAGCAGATTTGTGGCATACTGTACATAAAGTATGCATATATTAGTGATATGCACATATATATATTCACACAATTATACGCAAGCAGGTAGGTCATGCTGTGCACATGTATACTGACACAGACTGATGTGTATATGTTTACACATGAGTACATTTGTTAGTGTGTGACCAGCAGAGGAACATCCTAACTGCTCAAAATTACTGGGATTCCCTCTATCCTGTGTTTGTAACCACTTTTCTCAGTACTGTGTTTTCTCACCCTATCTCTTTTTCTGTTCTTCCTAGAACAACAAAAAACAATTGTTTTTCTCATATTTCCATAATTATAATAATTTGGGGAAATCTGGAGTAAAAATACCACAGAGGCAATAAAAATGAAAAAAAAAAAAAGCAACAGAAACTAAGAACAAATCTCCTGAGCAGAGAGGTATGGTTGATGCACATAGTGATGTTACACAGAGAGATCTTTAACTGGTCACTATGTTACTTCTCTTACAGAATATTTCTTAACAGATTAGATAAGAACTAGAAACCAGACAAGCAATTTGACTCTCACTTGCCCTGGGTGCATCCAGGTGAGGGTCAGGAGCAGACATGCTGTTCAGGAAATGTCAAGGCTGCAGTTTTGCAAGGCACAATTCATTGGCCCATAAAAATGCCCTGGGTTTGGCTATTTTTAAACTTTTTTTTTTTAAAGATGATTTTAGACTCAGAGGAGTTGGAAGAGCAGAAATACAGTTCCCACAGGCCTCTCCTCACCCTTGCTGGAGGCTGCAACACATACAAACAGACACCCAGAAACTGTCAGCACTAGGAAATTAACACAGTACCATGTTGGCGACACTAGCTGGATGCCTTCAATTTTCACAATGTCTTTTTCTGTTCCAGGTTCCCAAGCAGGATGCCTTACTACTCTAGCTGTCCCATGTCTCGGCTTCTGTCATCAGGCCAGATCCTCACCCTTCCTTCATCTTTGCTAGGATACTTCTAACCATAGGTCAGTGGGGTTGTATGCCTTCTAAGGATGATAAATTGGGAAAAGCATCACAGAGGGGATGCCTATTTAGTGTCCATCTGCCTGTCACTGATGATGCACACATTGGTGCTTGGCTGCAGTGGTGTCTGCTGGGAGTATCCACTGCTAAACAGCTGTTTTTTCCTTTGTAATTAGTAAACATCTTAGGGAAGATACTGCCAGCTGATGCAAATATTGTCTCTCCTCTGTCTTTTGCCCACTAAGTTCAGCACCAACCCAGACAATCTGCTGACAATTCCTGGGAGATTCTAAAGGTGTCTCTCTGTTCCCTTACTCCTTCACATCAGTAACTGGAATTCTTCAAAATGGAGGGGTTTTCTCTCTTTATATTAATACAAACAATATTATTTTATTCTTTGGTTATAATCTAATAAGATTATTTTTGATTTGATTTAATTTTGGCCACTGGAGTGCCTTCAGGTTGATTCCTGTGTTACTTCAACATCATAATTACTCACTTTTTTAGCAGGTCCTTCCATTCTGATGTCACTAGGGGCTCCAGGCACCTGTCCAGCCCCTGAACCAGCCCCTTCTCTGGGAGCCTAGTTCCTCTGGGCAGAGAACAATGCACACCCTCTGGCTGGAGTTTGGGGTCCCAGGACTGCCCACTTCTAGTCACTTGAGCTGGGGTGTGCACATGTTTAGTAAGCTACACTTATATACATCTATAATTATTACTGTCTGTGTACTAAACAGAACTGTGAGCCCTACCACCTGACTCCTATCTACCCCTTATCTCCACCTATGTCCCCAACAATGAGATGCCTGTTCTCATTACACACATTTTTATACTTGTTTGCTCCATACAAGGATACAAAAGATTCCTCAGTGAGAAACACGTTTACCACAGGAAGCCTGCAGGCTGTGTACAGTTCTTTGTACCCCCTTTCCTTCTACCTGCTGTGGTGCACTTTGGTGACAATTCATCCACCAAGGTCTGTGTTCCACTGTTCCCTTAATCCACTCTGTGGTGCACAGA